ACTTGTAGCCACAGGTGAGGGGAATACGTTATTCTGTAGTCCAAGAGACTCCCCTGTCTTGCAAGGTGAGAACATCAGAAAGATCCTTGCTGTCCTTCCAAATGCCAAGCACCATCTCACCTTGGATTCTCTGCTTCTGCTCTTCCCTCTGCCAAGAACCATCTCTGAGACTTCCACGTAGACTGCTTCTTCACCTCCTGAGGCCTTTGCTCAGAAACCCTCAGGATACCCTCCCAGACCACCCATATAGAACAAAAGCCTGGCTGCTCTCCAGATTCCCTCCCTACCCCAGACCCTCTTTGTCTTTATCATTCTCATGATCATCAGGTGGCACAAATGGACTTGCTTATTTCTTTATGCATGTCTTTACCTACGTACATGAACAAAAAAGCAGAGTCTTTGCTCTTTTCTCTGCTGGACCCCCAGGGTCTGGAACAGTGCCTGCCACGTAGCAGGTACTGATAAGTAGCCGTGGAATGAATGACATATGGAAGACCGCGAGTCAAGATACTGATTGATTCTGACTTTGTGGCACAACTTTTACTTAATAGGGTTTCATGCAATCTTCACAACTTTGGGAAAAAGGTGTTTTTCCCATTTTATAGATGAGGAAACTATAGCACTAAGAGGGGAGTTGATTTGTACCAAACTGGACAACCAGTAGGTAGCTGAACCTGGCTTCTTCTCTAAGCTGCCTGAATCTGTGGCTTAAGCTTCCTCAGGGCTATGTTTTTCCCCTCTTTTTGGCCAAGATGTTCTTATGAAAACCTAATGAAGGTACTTTCACACACATGTATCACCACCAGACATGTGCAGTCACACGTATGTGCACGCATTTATACACTCACACACACTCATAGACACATTCATACACATAATGATTGCCTATAATTCCAGAACTTGTGACGGCCGATGCCCAGCGTCAGCTCTCCTTCACTACACCACGAACTAGAAAGCCTGTTTTTTTGCAGAATTGTGATCTGTGCCTTTTCTTCAACTCCTTTGGGTTATTAACTAATTACTGCTTGTGAAGTCCTCGGGAAATACCAAGCACTTGTTCAATGTTAAATATGGTTGTGAGCGAAGCTTTGATTCCAGAGAACAGCCAGGGAGCCCCGAAACAAGCAAATAACAGTTGTGTGGGGAGCTGGTGGCCGGCGGGCACGCCTCGGTATGCAGTCAAACTCTGCATGCCTCTCAAAGGTGCTCCAGCTTGCGGCTTGCTGCAGCTGTCCTCGCAGGGGGGAGTTTGCACATTTTCAGAGAAAAGGATTTATTCCCAATTCATTGCTCTTCTGAAACCCCCTGTATTTCATCTTTCAGCGTCTACTTACCTTCCCTTGGCCCCCTCTCCAAACCAGCCCCTGTATTTACAGCAGGTGGGTCTACCTGGTCTTCAGGAAAATAAAGGCTCCATCTCCATTTCATTCCTGCCACCCCTAAATGCTTCTGTCACACGAAATCTCCCCTTCCTGACCTCCCATCTCATTGGAGTGATGTCCCCTGAAAGCTGGCTTTCTAGGCGTGTGAGCTGTGCAATCTCCCAGGGTCACATGCCCAGCTTTCTCCCCTTGATTTATTTAATGTTGTGTTGTAACCATCTTAAAATTCTTAGTAATTTTCAAAAGAGACCCCCATTTTCTTTTTGTACTGAGCCCCACTAATTAAGTATCCAGTCTCGGCCACCTCCAACTAAATGTTCACCGTGAATGCTTCTGGTTGTATCTGTGTGTGTTGGTCCAAGGCTTCTGATACCTTATTCTTTCAGTTTTAAAGCAATTGAAACACACCCCTTCCATCAATGTAATGATACTCAGCCACATGTTGGCATTCTTTGTGTTGCAAGGTATAGAAACCCAACCCAAAATAGTGGAGGAAGAAGAAGGAAATTTACCACGTTACATAAATAAATGGGGGAAGAGGCAGAAGAGGAGCTGGCTTCGGGTGCAGCTGGCCTCGGAGACACGCCAGCGTGACTGAGGTGACCGCTGTTTCATCCTCATCTCCACGCCCGTCCTTGTTGGCGACCTGCTTTCAGGTCAGCTTCTCTGTGTGATGGGAAGTTTTCTGTAGGTCCAAAGCCTGCAGCTTATGATCAAAGAGGAAAGAGGCCACTGTCACCGAGTTTGAATAAATTAAAAATGAGGGAGACGAAACAGCCTTTTTTGTTTTTCCTTCTCATACATGTCACCCAAGACTTGGACTCTTCCTGGGGGAAATTGGGTACTAAACTGAGATTATTAATACCTTGTGTATTCTTTGATCTGTGTCTCCATTCTTCCTCCTCTTCCTCTTCCTCACCAGAGTTAGTATTTACTAGGCATGTGCCCTGTGCCAGGTTATTTTCTAAGTGCTTTGTGTCTCTGAGGCTGGTGCTGGTATTGTCTCTATTGTAGTGGTGACAATACTCAGGGTCAGAGAGGTTTAGTGATTTGCCTGTGATCACACTGCTCAGAAGGAATGAAAATGAGGTGCCGACTCAGAGCCGTCTGATACATTCCCACTTTCTGGCAACGCACAATCCAGGGAGGTAACCCCTTTAGCTGAAAAAATAAAGAAAAGATTTTTCAAAAAATGAATGATAGTGCTGCTACTTAGAGATCTAACTACTAGCAGTCTTATGTTTCCAATGCACTATATATGCACATAAAATTTAACATGCATAACACATACAGCATTGATTTATATATACTATACATAGATACTATATATGCTGCATATAGGTATGCCTATATATTTTTAATTAATAGATTGTATTTTTGATCTGCCTTTTCCCTCCCTACACAATTGATTACAGATCCATCTTCAAATCATCACAGAGTCTCCTAGTCATCATTCTTATGGCTGCTTACGTTTCATTTGGTGGGGAAAATTCCGTCTGGATTTAGATGGAAATAACCTTGAATGTACAGATTGCTTTGAAGATGGTCTCTGTCCTCCTCATCAGAAAGCTGGAAAAGACCCGAACATCTCTGAATTCAAGATCCAGTTTGGAGAGAGCGGGAGAGAGGGCCTTTCAAAAGCAGGCGTGGCTGGGCGTTTACCCAAGGCTCACCTTGCTCCTTTCCCATGAAAGTGAGGAAAAGCCAGGTGAGGGGCCCATCCGCATCCCCGGAGAGAGCACCTTGAATCTTCACACGTGATGGGAGCTGGAGGATCACTGATTGTTAGCAGGAACTTTGTGAGTAATAAGGCTGCAAGACATGGTGGGAAAGATACTTGCCCTGTTTGGTGGTGGGCTGGCTGGTAAATACTTAACATGGGCTTTTCAAATACCCAAGCTCTGATTTGTAGTGTTTAGCATGTTCACGGTACAAACACTTTCACCGTGGTAAATTTCAAGCTGCTAATTTGACATCATTGAACAAGAAGCTGGGGAGAGGTGGACAATAGCACACTGTTACACAGTATTCCATCATACAGATAAGATAAATGTAAATTACCTGAAAACATAGACAACAGACAACAATAATACACAAAAGAATAATTAGAAAGTGAGGACTTTTAAGTCTTATCTTTCGTGAATATAGTTTATTTGATTGGAAGTTTATATAATTTAGTGTTTCATGATTGCCATGTTTAAAATATAGTTTGCAAAATTCCTGAAAATTTAACCATTTAACTTAGTTGTGAAATTATCTAACCTACCCCACTTGGGATGTTTTCCCAAAATGTGCCTCATAAGCTTCCAAAACGTGCCGGCTGCATCCTGCTTTGGGGCCTTTGTGTGTGTAATTCTTTTACCTGGAACAATCTTGCTTAACGCCTCATCTGGACGGGGCCTTGTCATGCCTCAGGTCCCAGCTCAGATTTCACCTCCTCTAAAAATCTTCTCCCTCCATATTCTCTGATAAGAAGCCTCAGTTCCCTTCCTATTGCCCTCTTCTTTCTTCTCATTTCATTATCTCATGTTGACACTCACCTGCTTCGTTACTTAATCTTTTACTCTGTTGCAGAATTTTAAGTTCTCTGTGGTAGGTCCACAACTGTGGACCCAAACTTAGTATAAAGGCTATCCCAGAGGAGCCACTTAGATAGTATTTGTTGAAAAAAAACATTTTTGAATGAAGACCTGTTATGTGAACCGGGATGCAAGTTCAATGCCAACCTTAGCAAGATAATGACTGGTGGAGAAGAGCTGGGGCAGGGGATGGGTGGGAGGCACTAGCAGCTCCAAAGGAGTGGGTGGAAGGACACAGAGGCTGGGCCAGCAAGCAGGGCCCAGCCTGCGCCTGGCAGGGGACACTTAGCCCTGCCTGCTCCCAAGCAGTGACTTCAAAGCCCTTCACAGGAAGTGAGTCGAGATGTGTTGGTCCCTGGAGGTGTCGCTAGCCCTTGGGAGGCCTTAGCTAGGTTTGATGAAGCACCTTCCGTGGCAGGTCTGGTAATTAACTGTGGCCAGGCAGTGTGTTCCTGCACATGTAAATCATCAGCGATACTTTGGGGCTTATCTACTAATGAAAACTCCTTGGCATTTCTGTAAGCATATTATGGTCAATTACAATTAATTCAGTTTGCATCGACTGCCTCTTTCCTTATGCAAAGATTGTGCAAATCGAGTGTGTGAGCCCAGGGCTCTGAGGCCTGTAAAATCCATAATGGTTAGCTTTCAGGGCTGGTGAGGAGAGAATAAAACTGTGGGCTGTTTGAAATTTAAATCAGAGCAAAGCCAGTCAATAGGGGCAGGTTTGCTGCACTCAGATTAGTTGGGCTGGGCATGCGAGGGGCCTGGGGGGGCACTTTCCTGCTGCCCAAGGTTACAGGGTCACAGACTGTCTGCTCCCCCAAGCCGGTTCTCCTTCAGGCGTCCCCTCTGCATTCCTGGCTGCAGCCGCTCCAAGCCTCCGGGGACCTGATTTCCTGTCTGAAGACTCAGAACCGCGTGATTCATGAGGACATGTTCCTGCTGCTTGAACAGAGCTGAGGTTTTTCTCTGTGTTTCTTTCCCACAGCTCCAAGAGCAAAGTTCAGAAGACAGCAGGTGTGAAATCCAGTTTGGAGAATTCAGTTTCTGGGCCAGCTGATACTGGCTGGATATTCACGATGTGCCGAGGACTGTGCTCAGTGCTTTATGTGTCCCTTCTAAGAATGTATGTGCATGTCACACGAGCCTAGGAGGTAAATGTTCCCATTTCATGCGTTTCACAGATGAGGCTTAGAAAGACCTGTCCCTGTTATACGACTAGGAGAAGTTTGGTTTGAATGTAAGTTTTTAACCACCTTCTCTGTCACTTGGATGGCTGGATCCTATAGCAAGTCACACTTAGGATTTATTTTGTTATCAAATTCATCTGTATCCAATGCCTGAAGAACAAAGGGTTGTTGTGTTCCTGTCTTTTCTCATTTCCTGTAACAGAAGCTGAGATGCAGGCTTCAGATGAAAGTCAGAGAGGTTGGCTGGCTGGCGGGGTTTTCAGAGAGAGAACATTCTTGTGGAGTTCTACCCATGGAAAGGGTTGGAAAACCGCCCTCAGAGGTGCCATTGTCCCTGAAAGGTGACAGCCCGCTCAGTTAGCCGGAGAACCCTGGAGGCTGCCGGAACAGAGCTGAGTTACAGTGGGATGTGGCTACGGCTTGTACCACTTTTGTTGTGTCTTATTCAAATCTCCTTGTCCTTACCACTCAAGGGCGTGGTCGCCCAGCTTCCAAATGCCAGCCATTTCATTTCTTTCCTTAACAGTTTCTCTGGCTATCAGGGACCACTTGGCCCAGCTGTGTGGCAGGCCAGACGTGCCAGGGAATGAATGCTCCTCAGGAGCAGGCTTCAACAATGAGTGATGGAGTTTGGTGTATCAATACTCCTGTTCCCTGCCCCTCGGGTGAGGTGACGCGGTGGGGATGTGTTTCGCAGCAGATGACATCCAATTGCCTGCACAATGACTTGCTTACCAACCACTTTCCGTTCTCTCTCTCCTCCTCCAACTCTTTTACTGGCATTTCCTGGGACGACCTCCTACATGACACAGCTGCACTTGAATCCTCACCAGTCTGCTTCTGGTGGAACCAAGTGGGGATAGTTCTCAATTTTAGGTAGAAGTCTGTTGCAAGAAACGTGTTACGATTTTTAAAATTGCTTATTTTTAATTAGACAAGAAAACTTGAATATATTCTCATTAAAAAAACAAATGTTACAGTTACTAACTGTACTAACAAAGTCCTCCCCAGACTCTTCTCTTCCATTCCTTCCTTACCCAGAAATGTCCAGTCCTTATTTTAGTGGTTTTCCATTCCAGACACTTTCTATACATTTACAACACACACACATTCCACTACATGTTGACCTGAAATGTACTTTTTTTTCCCTTTGCAAGATGTTTTGGAGTTTCTTCCTTGCAAATACACATGGCCGCATTCACCTCTTTTAAATGCTGCATAATGTTACACTGTGGAATGTAGCTTAGTTTAGTTAACTCCTCCCCCATTGGTGGACATTTAGGTTATTCCCATTTCTATGAGGGCTTCAACTTTGAGTTGGACTGTCCTCATGAGGGTCAGTTCTCTCCAATTAAAGGCTCTGCTCTGCAATCACTCTCTCATGAGTCCCAAAATAGCCACGGTGCTGGTTATAAGATGAAGATATTATGAAAACCAGAAAAAATTCTGGGGAATTCCAGACAACGCAACGTGACTCCTCCAGGTCCCTAGAGGACACAGACCAGACTCTGAAGAGGTGAATTGGGACAGGATGTTGAGGAGAGGAGAAGGGGAGAGCAGACAGAGTGGTGGGGGTGACTGAGGAAGAGGAGTCTTTTTTGGTCCCTGACTCTGGAGGTCCCATTTGCTAATTTATCACAAGACCACAGAAAAATTGATCCCTCCTGCGCCATCCAGATGTTGCCTTCTTGAGTTCTGGCCTTGCCCCCATAGTTCTTACCACATCAAGGAGGTGAATAGCAATAAAAAAAATCTTTTGCTTTAATAAGATTGAAATCCTCTCTGTTGGATTTTCCTGTATCATCTCAGTCATGAAGTCTGGGAAGCATAAATTATTAGGTTGAACCATATGAAAGTGACATTTTTGCAGGCCAGAATTTTTCAGTTTCATGTGGTTCAACTGAGTATTTTTAGGATCAATTCAAATTCATCCTTTAGGTGATGGAGTTGGGGGTGACATTGTGATTGCAACCTCATGACAGACCCTGAGCCAGAGGCACCTCTCTAAGCAAGTTCTTTTATTTCTCTGTGCCTCAGTTTCCTCATCTCTAGCATAAATATAATAATGCAAGGGTTTCTGTAGAGAACACTGAGATAATATATGTCAAAGACTTAAAACCCTGCCTCTCTCATAGTAAAAACTTGCTCGAGTGTAACTGCCATTACCATCAGCATTATTAAGCAATAAGATGTTAGTACTAAAAGGTAAGGAGACTTACTATTTACTGAGCGGCTGGTGGCTAACAAGCACTGATGAACACTTCACATCAGCTTTATTGAAGAAAACACGCACAGTGCTGTGAGGCTATTAATATCCTTCTTTCCAAGTGCTGAAAATGAATCTTGGAATTGTTAAGTAATTTAGCAAAGATGGAAAATATAAAGAAGTGTGAGAGTTATTATATGAGACGTGGTGAATGCATATGTCTAATTGGAATTCCAGAAGATGAGAGGAAAGAAAAAAAAGCAGAAGCAACATTTGAAGAGATTAATAGTCAAACACTTTCCAAATATGATGCAAGACACCATCCGTAATTGACCAAGAAGATGAACTCAGAGAAAAACCACACTTGGTTCATCACAGTAAAACTGGTGAAAATAAAAATTAAAGATAAAATAATCTTATACACAACCAAAAAAAGGCATATTACCTTAAAAGGTGTAAAAATATTTATACCAGACTAGTCAACAGAAATTATGCAAGTCAGAATGCAATGCAACAAGGATCTAAAACATTGAGAAAATAACTACCAACCTAGATTTCTACACCCAGAAAAATATCCTTTAAGAGTTAAAGTGAAATAAATACATTGTCACATAAATAAAACCTGAGACAATTGGTACTGGTGGACTTGTACTAATGGAAAAATGATAAAGGGTATTCTTCAGGCAGAAGGGAGTTAATCACTGATGAAACTTATGAAAGAATCAGAGCTGCAGGATGGGTAAATATGAGGGCACATCTCAATTCACGTTGACTGCACTGGAAATGGTAATGATGTTGTGTTAGTACAATATTAAAACAAAAGGAGACCAGGGATACACATAATACTGAAGTTCCCTCGGAGTCTCCTGCTTCCTGGGAAGTGGTACAAGTACGAACTTCTGAAAAACTAATAATTCAAGGGTGTGTAATCTCTAGGGTAACTTGTAAAAGGAGAGGGAAGGAATGTGTAGCTAAAAATGTCATCAAGGAAAAAAATGAAATCATAGAAACATGGTTGATTAACCCTGAAGAAGGCAAGGAAGGAAAAATAAATGAACATGGGACAAATGTGAAAATGGATGACAAATCATAAAATGTTGGATTTAAGCCAACATTTACCAGTATTATTATTATTAAATGTATGTGGTAAATTCTACATGTAGAAGTAAATTCATTTTTCATAAAACATATACTGCTTATATAATACTTACCTTAAATATAAAAGCACATGCAATTTGAAAGCAAAAAGGTACAATTACTAATCAAAAGATAGCAGAAATCGTTGTCCTTATAGGGGGCAAAGCATACTTTAAGGAAAGCACTATTAGAGATAAAGATAGTTTCTAATGATGAAAGGGTCAATTTACCAAGTATAACAACTCTAAATTTATACTTAACGAATTAACATAGTTTCAAAACATTTCAAATGGATGAATCCACAATCACAGTGGATAACTTGAGTGTAATTTTCTCAGAGGTGAGAGAACAAACATAAAAGAAATCAGTAAGGACAAAGAAAATTTGGTTAATAGACTTGACCCAATTTACATAAATTAGCCTAATTTACTTAAGTGATGAAACTTAGCTGACTTAATTGAATACTAATTAAAAATGAACAGAATACTTTCTAACATCACACTTGGACTATTAAGGACTATTAAGTAAAATTGATTACATTTTCAGACAGAAATCATGTTTCATCAAATTTGAGGTGCAAGTCCTCTCACCAGAGTGGAATTGAACCAGAAATAAGCATCAGAAAGAAAATTAAAAATGCTCAAATATTTGAAAATTAAACAACTGATTTCTAAATAATCTGAGTCAAGGAATAATTTATAGTGAAAATTAGATGTTACTTTGGAATGAATGATAATGAAAATAAGACATAAAAACATTTGGCATTTAGCTAAAATTGTTGTAGCAGAAAATTTATAGTCTTTTACCCATAGATGAGAAAAGAAGAAAAGCTAGAAATTCATGATTCTAGTGTTTATCTCAATAAGTTAGGAAAAACCCAAATTAAACCAAAAGAATATTCAATAGAGAAAATAACATCTATACAGTAGACAAAATTTTAAAAAGTCTACTCTTTGAAAGACAAATAAAATAGACAAATCTCTCAGACATGAACTAGAGAAGGTATGAATTACAATTCTATAATAGGAAAGAGATACTGTTATACAGCATACAAATATAGAGAATACAATGATAACTTTCTGCTAGTACATTTTAAAAAGTAGAAGTATTTAAAAAAAGTAGAATTTATTTTAAGAAGTAAAATGTATTTTAAAATACTATTAAAAATAGAATTATGAAAATTCCAAGAAAAGCATAATTTATCAAATTGACTTAGTAAGAAAGGGCCTATCCGTATAGTTACATGTTGCTAAAGATATTGAAACTGCAAATTTATAATCTTCCAATATACACACATACACACACACACACACACAAAATCTTCAAGTGATGATTAGTTTACCCATAAATTTAAAAAAATATTTACGGGAGAAATAATACCAATATTATACAAATACTTCCAAAAATAGAAATAGAAGAGTAAGGACACCATGGGATGGGTAACTCTGATAAGAACAGTACATAAAAGGGAAATGTTGGGCCAATTTTTCATACAGGTAAAAAATTCTAAAAAGAATATGAGCAAATCAAACCAAGTCGTATTGAAAGAGAATGATGCACCTAGATAAAGTTGTATTTATTCCAGGAATGCAAGGTTGGTTTAATATTTTGAAAAAGTGACATTACGTATCATGTTAATGGCATAAAAGAGAAAATATATTTAATCATCTGAAGATGCAGTGAAAGCAACTGAAAAGGTCAACTCCTAATCCTTATAAAAACTCTCAGCAATGTGGCCCTGGCTGGCATAGCTCAGTGGATTGAGTGTGGGCCTGTGAACCAAAGCATCACTGGTTTGATTCCCAGTCAGGGCACATGCGTGGGTTGCAGGCCATATCCCCCAGTGTGGGTGAGCTAGAGGCAACCACACATTGAGTTTCCCTCCTTCTCTTTCTCCCTCCCTTCCCCATCTCTCTAAAAGAAATAAAATCTTTAAAAAAACCTCTCAGCAATGTAAGACAAAAGGGAATTTACAAAATCTGATAAACAATAATACAAAAATCCAACAGCAAACATCACATAATATTTAATGGCAACATGTTGACAATTTTCTCCCTGAGTTTTTGGAATGATCTGAGGATGGCCACTCCTCCATTTCTAGTTGAGATTGTATTGGAGGTTCTCTCCAATGCAATAAGTCAAATAAAAGAGATAAAAGACATAAAGATTGGGTAGAAAGAAAGAAAACTATCATTAATTTGTTGATGATGTGAATGCATATGTAGAAAATTCAAAACAATGTACAGATATACTAAAACAAGTGAATTTTGCATGATCACTGAATTAAAAGTAAATGTTAAAAAATATTTATATTTCTATTACTATGAGCAAACAAAAAGAAAATAAAAAGAAATAAAGTGCTATAGTTTACACTGATATCAAAAGAGTCAAATATCTGAAAAAGAATAAAAAGTTGTTCAAGATCTGTGCACAGCAAACTGTAAAACAACTTGAGAAGAATGTAAAAAGAAGCAAATAAATTGAGGGGTATAACATGTGTATACATAGGAAGATTCAATTCTTTTCAAATTACCCATGAGTTTATTTATTTTTATTTTTATTTTTTATATTTTAATTTATTTATTTTTTATTGATTATGCCATTACAGTTGTTCTATTCCCCCCCTTCATTCCCCTCCACCCTACCTCCCCATCCCCATTACCCCCCCTTTAGTTTATGACCATGTGTCTCAAGTTCTTTAGATTCTATATTTCCCATACTATTCTTGCCCCCCATCTATTTTCTATCTACCGTCTATGCTACTTATTTTCTGTACCTTCTCCCCCCTTCTCCTCCTCCCACTCCCCTGTTGCTAACCCTCTTTGAGATCTTCATTTCTATGTTTCCACTCCTGATGTAGCTGTCCTTTTAGTTTGCTTTTGTTTTAGGTGTGGTGGTTAATAACTGTGAGTTTGCTGACCTTTCACTGTTCATGTTTCTTTAACTTCTTTTTCTTAGATAAGTCCCTTTAACATTTCATATAAGGGCTTGGTGATGATGAACTCCTTGAATTTGATCTTATCTGAGAAGCACTTTATCAGTCCTTCCATTCTAAATGAAAGTTTTGCTGGACAGAGCAATCTTGGTTGTAGGTCTTTGGTTTTCATTACTTGGAAGACCTCTTTCCAGCCCCTTCTTGCCTGTAAGGTCTCTTTTGAGAAATCTGCTGACAGTCTGATGGGAACTCCTTTGTAGGTGACTGTCCCCTTATCTCTTGCTGCTTCTAGGATTCTCTCCTTCATTTTAATCTTGGCTAATGTAATTATGATGTGCCTTGGTGTATTTCTTCTTGGGTCCACCTTCTTTGGGACTCTCTGAGCTTCCTGGATTTCCTGGAAGTCTATTTCCTTTGCCAGATTGGGGAAATTCTCCTTTATTATTTGTTCAAATAAGTTTTCCACTGGTGGCTGTTCCTTTCCCCCTTCTGGTACCCCTATAATTCAGATGTTGGAGCATTTAAAGATGTCCTGGAGGTTCCTAAGACTCTCCTCATTTCTTTGAATTCTTGCTTCTTGACTCTTTTCTGTTTGGCCATTATTTGCTTTCTTCTGGTCCACTCCATTGATTTGAGTCCCAGTTTCCTTTTCATTGCTATTGGTGTCCTGTGCAATTCCATTCATTTCAATTAGTTTTGCCTTCATATGTTTGTCTAATTTGTGGGTATAATCAACCAGTTCTGTGAGGATCTTGATGACCAGTGTTTTAAACTGTGCGTCTGAGAGTTTTGCTATTTCTTCATCGCTTAGATTTACAGGCTCTGGGGCTTTGAGATCTTCTTGAGCCATTTTTGGTCTGTTCGTGCCCTTTAAGTGTGAGGAGCGGAGCCCTGGACTTCCAAGTCGCTGGGTTGTGACACTGTATGTGGGGGCGTGGTCAGAGCGGGGAAATGGCGGTCCCCTGTGATGTTTCAAGCCGCTGGGTTATGACGCTGTATGTGGAGGTGGGGTCAGAGCGGGGAAATGGCGTCGCCCTCCGCTGCCGCTTGTCGCAGGGACCCGCTGGGTCCCGGTCCAATCGCCCACTCCCTCGCCCGTCTATCCGTGCACAAATGCGTGACCACAGTCAACCCGCAGCCCTGCTCCCTCGCTGTTTCCCCACGGTTGCTCGCTCAGTTGTTTGCTCCGCCTCTCACTAAGTCCAACCCTGCACTTGGATTCCGCGCACCTGAGTCCGTCTGACCGAGTTTTCCTGTGCAACCCCGCTCCACCAGCTGCTGGTTTCGCCTTTTACCGGTCAGGCTGAAGAATTTGTTGTTAACAGACTTCCGAAAAGTTCAATTTTCTGTGTTTTGGCTATGTTTTCTGTTGCTAATATTTAGTTGTCTCTAAACTTGGTTGTGTGAGAAGGCACCGCGTCTCCACCTATGCCTCCATCTTGGCGGAAGTCTAACTAATGCCCATGAGTTTAGTTCAACCCCATTAGCAACACCAGGTTTTGCTTGCACATCTACAGGGTGTGTGTGTGCAGGTATGCATGCAGAAATGACTGATTGTATTATTTATTTGGGAATATAAAAGGCCCAGAATTGCCAAGATAATTTTAGAAAGGAGCAAGCCTGGAAAACTTATACCCTCTATATCGAGATTTATTTTAAAGCTATGGTAACTGAGACAGTGTGGTATTGGCACATGACAAAATGGGTATGGAACAAATAGATATTCAGAAATAGATCCAAACGTCTATGTCCACTTGATTGATGACAGTCCTGACACTGTGTTGCAGGGCAGAAAGGATGCCCCTTTAATAGATCAGAGTGGGCCAACTGGATATTTACATGGAAAAAATGGATCTGGAGTTGTATCACACATACTACGCACAAATCGGTTCCAGATGTGCTATAGTTCTACAAGTAAAAGGTAAAAACAATGAAACTTTGTAAAGATGAACTCGAGAATGTTTTTATGACCTCAGGGCAAGCCAATATTTCCTAAGGAAGACACAACAGGACCTGTAATAGGAAAGATTGTTAAACTGATCTTCATTAAACTTAAGAACTTGTGTTTCACTCTCATCAAGAGTGTGAAAATGCAAGCAGCAAGGTGGAAAGTATTTAAAATACACATATTCTACAGGGACTCTTAGCCAGAGTATAGAAAGCATTCTACAACTCAGTGAGAGAGAAAAAAAAAACCACCACCACCAGATGACTCAATAAGAACTCAGCATTAAACTGATCAAATCTTTCACAAGGTGAGGATGTCTAAGTAGCCAGTAAGCATATTAAAAGATATTTAACCTCACTATGCATTAATGAAATGCAAATTAAAATTGCCATAAGATATCTACAGACACCCCGAAGAATGGCTAAAATGAAAAACATAGACAATACCAAGTGCTGACAAAGATGTGACGTATTTAAAAACCTCATACTCCTGCTATTTTCAATGAATTTCTCAGTTACAAAGCTGTGTGAGAGAAGGTAGACACAAAGGGATACATACTGAGTGCTTTCTTTTATATAAAGTATTAAAACAGGGCAAACTCATTGACCTGGAAGATATAAAAATGGTAGTTAATTACTATAGAAGCTATGTTTTGGTTTTTTTTTAATCTACATAGTGATTACATGGGTTTATGAAAAGTTATTATAACTAGCACATTTGTATATGCTTGTTGTTCTGTGTCAAATGTGTATTTAAAATGTGTATTTAAAGTTATCTCTAAGTTAAGAACTTCAGACTGTCGAGAGGAGGGAAGTCCTTTGACTTAAAAGATCGAGATCTTTGCCTGGTAAATGCAGCCCAGGGAACATTCAACAGTGTGTCTGGGAAGGGGGAGCTCCTATCCCCAGACTCTTTGCCAACACTTTTTCCATTATAATAAAACCCATCTGACTCATAAAATTTTGAATGCAACATCCTTGGAAGTTTGACAAGTCCTGATTGCCTGGTTCTCCCGAGGCAACAGCACGGTTTGGGAGTGCGACAGAGAAATGAGGAGGCGGGAGGAGAATTCTGCCTGCCAGTCTAGAGCAGTGTTTCTACAACTCAAATGTGCAAGACGATCCCCTGGAGGGTTTGTTCTGACACAGGTGTGCAGGCCCCACTCCCAAAGTTTCTGATTCAGTAGGTGTTATGGACTGAATGTCTGTGTCCTTCAACAATTCGTTTGCTGAGATCCCAATGTGATGACGTTTGGAAATGGGACCTTTGGGTGGCAATTAGGTCACGAGAGTAGAACCCTCGTGAATGGGATTAATGCTCTTAGAATAAGACACAAGAGAGCTTTCTCTCCCTTCTCTCTCTCTGCTCTTCACCATGTCAGGACACAAGGAGAAGAAGGCCATTGATAAACCAGGGGAGCTCTCACCAGACACCAGATCTGTGGATGCCTTCATCTTGGACTTCCAAGCCTCCAAAACTGTAAGGACTAAATTTCTGTTCTTTGAGCTAGCCACTCTACAGTATTCTGTTACAACAGCCAGAACTGACTAAGGTAGTAGATATGGGGTGGTCCCCCCAGTTTTGCATTGGTGATGCTGATTCGAATGTTGTCAGTCTAAACACTCTCTTGGGGAACCACTGACTTTGAGCACCTATTGGTGAGAGTTTCACAGGGATATCAAGGTGTTTCTGGTGGTAGAAGCTGGATCATAGTGCCCAGATACTCATCCATGAGGCCAAATTTTATTGTTCACAGGTTCTCCCAAAAGACTCTCCTTGCCCCAGAGCTAGATTTCATAAGTTAATTAAGGGAGCTTTTACAAAGGAATTCAATTATAGTACGTCAATGCCTTGTTCTTGCACACAACAAGTCCAAATAGGCAGGGCAGCCTTTCTTAAGTGAACCACCCTCCCCACACATGATCTCATTGGGAATTTGGCATTTGAATAGTTGAGCTTATATACCCAGGACCATCTGAGTAGGTGACATAGTCATCTGGTGATGACTGACACCCGCAGTAAAATGATCGTGACCTGATTTGTATATCTGTTAGAAAAACTGACTTTAGACTTGGCATCACACCAGGCTTGGGGACAGGGTGGGTGCAGTGGAAATGGCCTCAGGAACAAAGAGGCAGCAGATACAGCTGCCTGCTCTCTGTTTACTGTGAAGCACATCATGTGTCTCAAGGAGACCAGCTGAATCTGTTACATTTTCCATCCCTGAGTGACTCTTGATTTGCACATGTATTTCCAAGGCTGAGAGTCGTCCCAACCACAGGATTTCCCATCCTGCAGCTGGAGAGTTTTGTATTCAAAAGGGTCTGGGACTTTCCAAGTGTGAGGTGTCATATCTCTGGTAGCACTCATCTCCCCGCTTTTGAAATTGATTTGCTGTGAGCCATCGCTAGCCAAAAAAGACCAGCCATAGTGGCCTCATCTATTTGGCCTGGTCACTGCCATGACCTTGGGCATCCTAGGTCTGTTTATGTTGGGCAGTATGGCCAGCTCAAGAATTAATTGCTTTTGCTGGGTTCCCACTTCCATCCATAGTCACCAACAGGGTCCCCTTCCCCATAGACCTGCACGTTGGCTCTCACTAGTTAAGATCATCCACCTTGGAGGCTGGTAGCAGAGCTTTTGGTGCGCTGCCCCATCTTCAGCCTGTCAGTGGGCTCTCACTGGCTGGCTCCAAACTGCTGGCACCTGCATCGCTGTGCCTAAGGTCCTTCCCCTCCACAGCTCTGAAAAGTTGCTCTGCCTTTTTTTTTGGCACAGTAGATTAAATGTTCCAGGAAAGAAGGGCCCCTGATCAAGGACTGTCAGGCATTGGCATATGCAAGAGGGACAACAAAACCCAGAATTTATTTATGAAAAATTGCCTATTTATTCTTACATGTTTAAATTTCAGTCACCTTCAAAGTACTCTCCATTCGATGCAATACACCTGTCGAGACTTTTTTCCCCACTGCTCAAAACAGCTTTTGGACTTACTGATCTAGATGCCTTTTAGTGCTCCTGCCATTTTTTGTTTTGCCTCTTCCACATCAGCAAATTTTTTTCTTTGAGGATTTTTTTCATCCAAGGAAACAACAATGACAAGTTGCTTGGGGTGAGATCAGGTGAGTAGGGAGAGTGAGGCATGGAGGTCAAACTGTGCAACACTCAGAGCAGTGTGGGCAAGTGTGCTCGTAAACCACCCAGCATGAAATGGGCAAGCTCACTCAAAGTCTTCAAAAAAATTCACTGAAGTTGAATGCAGCTTCTCACAACAATGCCAGCTGGTACACTGATACAAATGGGTTCCTAGGACACTCACCTAGCAGGGGGAGGCCTGTACTACATGGGGCCCACCCACCAGAAGATAATTCCAGGGTGTTTTGGCTTCCCCCTCATAAATCCCCCAGATCATTTGCTCTTAGGGTGAAATAACTTACACTGTTTCCCAGAATTTCCCCATGGTAGCTGACTTAAAAACATATTTATCCATTTCTTTCCAAGCAATTGTATATTCAACAGCTAAACTTGATGAGTGCCGACTGTCTGCCAGGCACTGTGTTAGACTCAGGATATGAATTATGAGTGAAACTGACATGGTTCTTGTAGTCCAGTGGGAGAAACAGATAACAAATAGTTCCAGATAATTATAATATATGTAATATTTTGTAATATTATATACAAAATATATATAACTCCAAAATTGCTCCACGTGCTATGAAGACCCAAACCAGGTGTCTGATGGCGTCACAAAGGGCCTGCCTACACGATGCAGCAGTGGGGAAGGCCCTGCTGAGGACGTGACATTGAACTGAAAGCCTGAAGGATGAGAAAGGTCAGTGTACAATGAGCTGGGGAACAGAATGTGCAAAGGCACTGGAGACGAGAGGCCCTAGGAGTGGAAGGAGAGCTGACAGAAAACCGGAGAGCAGCACCCTATTAACTTGGAAAGGCCGGTAGGGACCAGGGGTCAGTCACAGGCTTGCAGAGTGCCCAGGTATGTGGGCATGCGTGTGCATGTGTGTTTGCACACAAGTGAGCACCTGCAGTATGTGTGCGTCTCTTGTGTTCACCCCATGATATGTTAGCAAAGGGGATGTGTTTGATCTTTTCTGTGTATTCATCCTTGGGACTGTGCCTCTGGTATTCGTGTTTCCAGATATAGTTTTTTTGTATTCATATATTTTTACCCTGGTGATGTCTGGGCAGGTGGGTCTGATTATTTACGAGCGTGTTTGTGAAAACACAGAAGTGGATATAGCATTGTGCAAGGAAGCTTGAGTGCCCATGTGGATATTTGCGTGTGCATGTATTTTGTCTGGTGTCACCATATATGTGAACTTGTGACTGCCTGTGTATGTTTTATGAGTGTGTGCTTATGCGGGTGTCTGTGATTCTACATGAAGCTCTGGAAGTAGTCTTGCCTTCAGACCACAAGATCTTGGAATTTTTATAGCCAACATTTGTTAGCAAGATGCAAACTTTCTCTGCAGTTACAGTTATGGCTGGTTTTATTTTATATTTTCCATATTCCTGGCCTTTTAAAATCTGGATTCTAAATCCTTTATGCGAATATGTGTGTGAGTGAATTTAAATATTTCTCTTGGTTTAAGTCAGCTTCAGTAAGGCCAAAATCATTACCCTGTCTTCATGAAGTTAATATCTTTATTTAGGAATGAGTTTCGGGCCTGGAGTAGTGTGGTTCCCACAGGCAGCCTTTTTTCTCAGTTAATTTCCAAGTTGTAAGGTGATCCAGCAGCTTGAGTGTCGATGAAGCCAACGCTGTGAGCCCCATGGATATTCTCACAGGCTGACACTGTCAGAGAAATGGAGAGAATTGTTTCCAAGGAAAGAGGCGTGAGCAGCCAGGGTCTGGACTGCCACTTCCTTAGGGACCAGCCAGGCCCAGTTCTCTGAGTGGACATTCCTTCAGCTCCCTGATCCTGGGAACACACAAGGAAATGTTCCAGCATCATCGTGGGATGCAGGCTCTGATGTGCTTCTCACCTGTGATGCTTTTCATGTTGGTGCCCTGTTTGCTTTCCAACTAGAGTTGTAGAGAGGGACAGCGCTTTGTAAAGATCATCTGCTCTCATCTGCACTGCAATTTTTTTATCTCATACATGGTCATTTAGCTTCTCTTTCAACACATCCAGGGGATCGATTGCACTGGTGGCCCAAATCAATGTCCTCCCTGTATCGACGCCCTTTTTGTACTTCACCTTTGTGATTTCCCCCCACTCTGTCCCCGGCCCCAGCCATAGGGCTTGCTTTGGACAATAAGATGTTGGCAAACCTGATGCAAGCGGAAAAGTGAAAGGGCACATGTGAATTTTACTTCTGTATTGTTTTTCTGTGATCACCTTAAGAATAAGCCCAGAAACCAACACAAAACCAATATTGAGAGGAAGCTGTAACTGAAAAATAAAACTAAAAAGCACAGAAGAAAATAAATTAAAAAACACTAAAAGTTTCTCAACCCTCAGTAATCAGAAATATGCAGACTAAGATAACAATGAGCTACCATTTCACATTTAACAAATTGGGAAGACTGTCTTTGTCTCATACATTATATCCATGTAAACACTTTGGAAAACACTTTGGAAACATAAGTACAATTCAATGTAAGTATACCCTATACGATTCCAGTGTCACATGGTACAACTCTTCTCAATGGGAATAAGAAGACATGAGTAAGAATGTTCATTGTAGCAGTTTGTACTAATGAATAGAAAAACTGTAATTTATTTAAAATCACAATTAAAATGAATGATCCAGGAAAAAAAAACAATAAGCCCACGTTGGCCTGCTGGAGGATATGAGACCCCATAGAGAAGAGAAAGTTGAGTTGTCCCAACCAAAGCCATCTTAGACCGGCCATTCTTCAGCAAAGCTGCAGGCTGAGGATAGACTCATGGAGGGAGTAGGCCCAGGAAAGACCAACCCAGCCTGGCCCAGACAAGCAGCACCACCCAGCCAACCCACAGACTCATGAGAAATAATACATTGTGGCTGTTTTAAGCCATTCGAGATGGTTTATTACACAGCAATAGCTAACCGATGCAACCTCCAGTGGCGGGGTGCTTATTTCCACTTATTTCCACACTGGAGGAAGTTCATTCCTTGTTAACTTCTTATAAGCCCATTTTTTTCTTCCACGAATACTGACCTTCAAGTATTTGATGATAACAGGTACAACCAGATGACTATAGCAGCCTCAAGCCTAGATTCCCCACTTCCTCTCTGATCCGCCTCTAACCCATTTGCTACATAGCAGAAATATGTCCTCTTCAACGAAACTTAATTATTCATACTTATGAAAAGCACTCCATAGTTTTTCATTACACTTAGATTAAAATCCAGACTCCTTTCTTCACCTTTCAGTACCTGTTCACCTCTCAACTTCGCCCCGACCCACTTTTGCCTTTACTCACTATGCTCTTGTCATACCAGCTTTAAGTTTCTTGAC